CTTCCCAGTAGACAGAGCCAAATATCAGCTTGGTTGGTAAGCTCCGCTTCCTCGGAGTTACCAGGTCTAGACCTTGGAGTCCGTTTTATATATACAGGTTTGATGGGTAGGTCGAGNTAGTGGTGCGCTCGGGCCAAGTATGGTACCGAGTGCCGGCCACGCCTCTTCAGGTTTGGGGCGTGACAGCCAATATGGAAGAATTGAATGAAGAGAGCGAGTTCCAACAAGAAGAGAATTTTGAAAAAATGAAGATTTTGAGCCATATGTCGCTGGTGGAACAATCCGAAAGATTAGAAATATTTGAGGCTCAACGTGAGGAAATTACAAATGAGATGAGATATTTTATAGAAGGAAGAACTGAATTGGGACAAGAGATCGATAAATTTGGTACTACTATTCACGATTTTGAGGCTCAATTGAATACAAAGGTTGATGCGTCTAACGCTCAACAAAATAGTAATGAGTTGTGTAAAGCTGAAAAGGAGCTTATACGCCAAATTGAGGAGCTAAAAGTGGAGAGCCAATCACTCGAGCATATTTTTGTTGATGATGCCCATATTGAGAAAAGTACACTATAGCCATATGAGGGAGTAGATAATATTATTTTGGGATACTTGAGTGTGTGTGTATATGGGGATGTAAATTGTAGTACAATTCATGAGTTAGGGCGCATTAGAGTTCATTCCAATCATTTTTCTACATTATTTTTTAAATAGTAAGATAGTAATCGAGCCATCTAAGTCCATGGAGGAGTCAAAGAGTGAGGATGCGTGTGCCTATATTCTTGAATTTGTTGTACTAAAAAGCAAAAATTACATTCCTCATCTAAAGGTCGAGAAATACAGAGTGAAATATTTATTACTTGACCTGATTTTTTTTGTAGCCCCATCAAAAGAGCATAGTAGAAATCTTGAAGCCAAATTAGGGGCCCAATTCATAAGTTCAAGATGGAGGCAAAAAATGGGTCATGTCGTGCCGCGACATTAAATTAGGCGCTTGTTAGGAGGCAACCCAACTTTACTGCTTTCTTTTATTTTTATTTATTTAATTTTTCTATTATTTTTGTAGTGTTGTTTTATTTTGTAGGATTATGAGTATAGGAAGAAAAGCCAATGGAAGTATGCAAAAGTGAGCTAGATGGTGAGAACTAAGTGTGGGGTGCCCACACAAAGGGAAGTCTGAGTACCCCGTAAGCCGCTATTGCTTCGGCCTTTGGCCTTTCAGGGAGTTTCTTGTCCACCCTCGTTATTATTTTGCTTTATTTGTGCATTGGGCTGCACTCTTTTAAGTGTGGGGTGAGAGAATTTCTCTAGATAATTAGTAGTAGTATGTTAGAAAATGTTAACTTTTTATTTTGATTTTAGCTACTTATTTTTATTTTCGTAGTTGTGTAGTATTTTAGTAGCTTAATTTATTTTTTTAAAATGTGAAAAATAAGAAAAATTAAAAAAAAATCGAAAAAGGTAGAAAAACTGGACTCCTCCTAACGATGGATATCCTAGACAGTTTTCTTGAGGGATTAAAGTCTAAACAAAAATTCAAAAATATGTCTTTTAGCTTTCTTTAAGTAGTAATAATCCCCTTTGGTTTTTCTTTGTGTCTCGATTCTTTTCCATGGGATGTAGTTTGAACCGGGTAGTAGTTTTTTCTTTTATTTTTTTTTTTTATTTTTAGAGTAGATTAGAATTTAGGGAATAAATGGAGGAAGAAAGAAGAGATTCCTATGCACCTTGACTCGCTTGATAGTACCATATTTAGGCTTTGGCACGTGTAGCATCTTCCCTATATTTTGAAATTGATCTTGATGTATTTATAAATTGGATATCATGTTTTGTGGCGCCTACGTCTCATTTATTTGACTATTGTTCGCTTTGTGCTTAATGTTTAATATCTCGTGGCTCCGTGAATACTTGTATTAATTTGAGGGTCGGAATGTGACCGTCCCTTAGTGAGTCATGTGCCATGTGTGGTAAGGTTTTTGTGTAGCCCAAATTTTTGTGATTGAGTCTAGAACTTGCCCGGTATGTGAGTTGAAGCGAAATTTTAGGTGATACTCGGTTTGAAAAATAATTTTAGGCTTTCTTTGATCTTTTTGAGCTTTATTGCTTATCACAAATAAAATCTATCCCTAGTTAACCGTTTTGAGCCTATACGCTTTTATTTGGCACCCATATTACAAGCTTATGCCCCTTTTTATTCTTAATTGACATTATTTTGATCCTTTACCTCTTAAGGCACTTTAATTGTAAAATGAGTGCTAAAAGAAGTAAGAAGGGACTAAGCGTGGGGTGACTTTTGAGTGGAACCAATGAAAGAAAGAAGAGTGCACTTATTTTGTAAAATAATACACCACTAGCGGAAATTCATAAAGGAAGAAAAAAAGGAAGAAAAATCTGAAAAAAGAAAAAGAAAAAAATAGTAGATGAATAAATATCTTGTTTTTGCCAGTGGAGTGTAAAACGACGATAGTGCTTAAAGAAAAAGAAAATATTGTTAGGGGTGATATTATTTGTGAAGTTGAAGTTGAATTGAGGAAATATGCGCTTTAAGTTTATTATATGATGTGTTAAAGAGCTTAGGAGGGTGAACTACTATTTCTAAATATATCATACCCGTCCCTTAGCCCACATTACAACCTGGAAAAAGTCCTAATTGATTTTAGATCAAGTGAGCTTACATTAGTAGAGATTTACATTAAGGCCAAGCCTATGGTACCTTTTTGCATGCATGTGACTTCTTTGTGAGAGTGAGAGATTTTCTTTGATGGATGTGAGTCCTTGAATTATATTTGATCATGAGATTCGAATGTGCGGATTCAACTTAGTCATTTGTTCTTGTTGTGAGAACACATGGTTTCATGAGGGATGGGTAACATTATTAGACTTCTCTAGGATATTGGGTGTTCAAGCCATGAGTGCATTTTTGATGCTAGGATTGTTGTGAGCATGTTGTCTTTGTTTGAATATTTTTGAAGAATGACATAAGTAAAGCGAAGTGTATGTGATTGCATATGCTAGAGTTTAATTGTTGCCATAAACCATGGTCATTGGTATAGAGTGCTCAAAGATAAGAGTAATTTATTGGTTGACTCGAATACGAGCAATGTTAAGTGTGGGGTGTTGATATTTAGCTTAATGTATGCTTATTTTGATGTATATTGCCTCGCATGTGCTCATGTCTCGTAGATTTCGGATGTATAATATAATGATTTGTGCTAATTTATGGTATTTATATGTGTAGGAATCATTTGGATACGATTTGGGATGAAAGTGCGTGAATTGGAGCGAAAATAGGAAGAAAAGGCAAAAGTGCACATTTGAGGGCCACATGCAACGTCAGGGTGCTGCCTGTGGCGCACAAAACAGAATGCTGAAAAGTTGAGCGCCAGGGCCAGCGCCTACGCTGCTCTGGACGCTCAAAACGGGAACATGTCCTGTTTCGATCGGGCCTCGGTTATTTCGACCCCAAGACGCCCCCAACTCATATAAAAGCCAACCTAAACCTATTTTGCAGGGGGGGCACTTTTGAGAACAACTTTTGACAAAGGTGTACATAGCCGCCGTGGAGGCCGAGTTTCATCTTTTCTGCCGCCAAACTTAGTAATTTTTATATTTCTTTGTATGATTTGTTGTTTTGCTACCATGTATATGTGGAGCTAAACTTCACGTTCTAGGGTTGTGGTTCTTTCATGACTATTGTTATTCAGGATTGATTTTACTTTCTTGATTTATCATATTGCTTTATTTATTCAATCATGCGGTTAATTATTTGATTGCTTGATCACCAATTGAATACTATCTATGAATCTAGAATTGAACTCGAAAGTGGGAATTCTAGATTGCTTATAGGATTGAGTAGAGCAAGTTCTCGAACCTGGGCATCGTGGAATGGATTCACTATTAGGATAGACATATACCTAATTGTCTTGCTTGGTTGATGTACATGAATTATAATTGCGTCCTTGTTGATTCTAACTCCATAGACATATGGGCGTTAAATTAGCTTGGATATGCGAGTAAGAACTCGACAAATTCTTATGAGCAATATTAACCATGTCAACCAATAAGCTAGATGAATTAGTTAGTCAATTCAATTGAATAATACAATAGGAATGTTGGATAACCCATAACCCTGGATCGTTTTCATTACATTGATAACATAAAAAATTGTTCTACCTTTGTTCAAAGTTCATTTTTTTTTTTCATTTTAAGTAGATTAAGGTCATATGATTATAGGTTTAATTCTTGTTCAGATAATTAGGATAGTCTAATTTAGTTAATAGTTAATCCCAAGTCCTCGTGGGTTCGACATCCGACTTTTAGTCACTTTATTACTTGACGACCGCATATACTTGCGTGTGCGTTTGGCCGCAATAATATTGCGTACATGTTATTGTAAGTGGCCCGCCTTAGCCTCGTCACTACTTCGTCGAGGTTAGGCGCGACACTTACAGAGTATATGGGGTCGGTTGTCCTCACACTACACTCTGCACTTTTTGTGTAGATTTCGGTGTGGGTCCTAGCGGCGTTCAATAGATTTGCTCGGATCTAGTTCTTGGCGGAGACTTGAGGTACAACTGCACATCGTTCGCAACCTTGTAGTCCTCTTCTACATCACCTTAGCTGTTTATTTCGATTAAGACAATTATACTTTTATTCAGACTATTATTTGTAGTACTCTAGACGCTCGTGTATTCGTGACACCAATTCTGGGATTGTATTTGGATATCGCATTTCATTAATTTATTTACTCTATTTCAGTTTATTCAGCTTATTGGTTTTCATTTGATTTGAATTGTTAAAAATGATTAATAACTATATATAACGTTAATTTGCCTAGCAAGTGAAATGTTAGGCGTTATCACGGTGCCGAATGTGGGAATTCTGGGTCCGTGACATACCAGTATGATTTTATACCTCGAGTTCAACATTGTTTTACACAAGATTCAACTTGGGTTAACTTATTGCTTTACTGGGAAAATAACATTTAAAAGACCAAAATAACCTCGATTTCATGTTTCCATTTTTTATTTACTCTAACAAGGGTAAATTTGTGAACTTTGTATTATACACAGTACATCCAGTTTTTGATGCAATGAACTAAACATCCGCTAAAAAATCATTAGCACTAAATAATCCAGTGATTATTAATCCCCATATCACAACTCAACTGTGAACTCTGCATAACTTTGTCAGCGAACCAAACATCACTCTCCTAAGTGTCTGCCTCCCCAGCTTAGTGGGACACATGGGAGACCGTCAATGCCAAACATTATATATTGGCATAACTTGCTCATATAGCAAAGAACAACCTGATGCCACAATGAAAGAGAAGCAGCACATTGCGATAGTTGCAAGAATGAAAATGGCCATAACAAGAGATCAAGAATCATTACTCTAAGGTGAAGGATTACCGCGTGGTTAATACCCTCTTGATTTATCAGTAGTGTATTCTGATCCCCTTGTGCAGATAACCAAAGAATCAACATAACTCCTCCTGCTATGGACTATGAGCTTGTGGGATCCTCAAAGTAGTCCTCACAAAGTGCTAAACTAAAGCAACTACAAAGCCCATTTCTCCACCTCTTACTTCCATTACATCTTGTGTGCTTAACTTGTTTGAACAGTCGAGTCATAAGGTAACACCTCACACTTCGACAATCGACAGTCATCAATTAAGTTGAATCTATACACAATGTTACAACATGACTTCCAACAAGCCAACTCTCATCTGCCGGCAAGAGTATATAATCATATCATATGAAAAAGAAAAGTGCTACCATCTTTCGTCTCCAACCCAATTGTTCTTCTCCTTTGGCCCAGTAGGGCCTTCCTCCTTAAACAATTCCACTGGCAACTTATCAAAAATATTCTGCACTGAGTTTCGGACCATCACTGGCAAGCGCTCTACAATTTTCTCAAGCTCCTTCCTTGAGTCGTAAATAATGGTTGGACCCCACTCTCTCATATATTGTAACCAACATGGCTCACTGACAGCTCCATGGCCGAGATACTCTGCTGCCATAATTTCATACTGGGTACTTGAATCTACGTAAAGATTACTACGGGCAGCATCATTTCTAATTCCAATCCCTAGCTTTGAGGACCCTTGCATGTAATTTCCAGGATGAGGAAAGCTAGCATGACCATTTTTTGATGAATAAACAGTAGCTTTATTTCCTGCAATAAACTCCAAATCATAAGCATCCACCCATTCACCACCGCTGTGCTGAGAAAAATAGATACTCCACAGCTCCCCTGTGAAATTGCTCACTCGAAGAGTGAAATGCTCCCAATCACCTACATGCTGACCAATTTTGCTAAGAGGAACATTCACTAGGCCTACCTTCAGAGTGGCTGGACCATTAAAGGGGCAAAAAATCCACATCGCTATATCCGTGAAAGTTCCACCTAAGGCTGGCTTCACATGAACATAAAGTTTTGCACTCTGTAAATTTCCAAACTTGACAATCTCTCTTCGAACATCGCTTGGCAAATCAATCCAGTATTGGCCATCATTTGTCCCACCGCCAGGTAAATTGGATCCGTCAGGCTCGATAGGCTTAACAACTGAATCACCTCTCGTATAGAGCAATGCACCGTTGTCGAAGAACCATTGTAGAGAAGACGGAAGATAGACCTCGTCAGGATGGAAAAATAAAGTAGGACCATAGTGCCTAATGATCGCATGAATCTGATCAAGGTTTGGCATTGCTTGTAAACTCGTATCAAAGCTCTTTAAGCATGCGATGCTTAGCTCTTCCCCCGTGCTCCAATAGCAACTACAGAAAAAGGTACCAGCTGAAATACCTTTCCCGTGCATTCCTCTATGCCGCGGTCTTATGCTCCAAACTGCCAGTACTTCTGAAAGCACAGAGCTGGTTTTGAGTATCAGGCGGTGAGTTTCACATTCATCAGTGAGGTCAGCTCGAACACATTTAACTTCCCCTAACTCAGGTTTAACAGGCTTATTAGTCGCAATGAACCCCAATGCTTTATAACCTTCAGGTGGTTGCGGTAACCAGAAGTAACCAGATCCATCAAAGTTTTCTTCACTTTCAACATCAGAACTACTCCAGACTAACGTGTAATCTAGGGGATTCTGAAGTGCAGGCAAACAAGGATTTCCATTGCAATGATCCCCTGCCTCAGGTTTAGCCACTTCCCGAGCAACAAGTACATACCCTCGTAGAGGCTTGTTGTTAGGTTGGCAGTAGTGGCCAAGGCTAAAAAATCCATCTGACTCCCCCCTTGGCTTATAAAAGCTAACACCCTGTTTCCGGTCTTGTGACAGATTACAACCACAGACAAACTCAAACTTGCTAATTTTATGAACCTCCAATTCCCCTAGTTTAATTATTCCACTAGCAAACCCTGTAGCTGAACATTCTAAGACAGAAAACAGATTGCATTAGAAGTGTTCTTTTCTTAATTTATGTGTCAAGACAGAAAAAGATATACTAGGTTCTTATGCAATCCACTAACATGATTCTTACAGTCTATTGTGGTACAAGTTAATTACACGACCCATAAACAGATGCATTATATCATGTGACTCTGAAAACTAATGCACGTCCAAGAACATATAATATCTTCTCCAAGAAAAAGAAAGAAATAGACTCAGTAATTCTTAATTTTAACAACATCCTGATTTTATACACAGAACTTAATCATAGAGAAAACTAGGTGAATTGGATAACTATTGAAACCAGTAACATACAAGATTTTATTGATCAAACAAACCATGTAGAACGTATATGCCTTTTCATTTTCTGGCTCATTATCTCTCTATTGCTGAATGCTGATCAATCAAAGAACTTCAGCAACATCTTCCCAAACTAACTGTACTTCATTGACAACTCTAGGTACTAAAAACCTTGTAGGCCCCTTTTAAGAAGGGGCAAACAGGATAAAGCGTGAAGATATGGCATGGAAGAAACTACTAGTTAAGCACGCTGCACGCTCAATAACATGCTTGGAAATTACAATAAAGGCTACATTCTTTTCTTTACCGTGCCAAGAGAATCAAATGTTGCAACAACCTCGTGCAGCTGTAGTAGCATATACTGTTCTTTTAGAGAACAGTACGGGAACAATTTAAAGTTGATCATTGTGAACCACTAAACCACATTGTAAACAAGAACCTCGTAGAATGCTGAGTTAGTTGATGCTAAGATAAACAGATAAAAGATCAAAGAAATAATCACGTTATTGCAGCATGCCACTAAAAGCTCCTCTGGTATGGATGTGTAATTTCTAATGAACAAAAAGATGTGTCCTTCTTTCCTTGTTTTCAATGCAAAATAGGCATACAAATTATTGAAAGCAATGGTCACATAACAGAAGATTAAACCCCACATCTTAAATCAAAAGTGTAGTTATCCAGAAGGTTTATAAGCATTTTGTCAAATCCAAGTGACTCCTTTAACTAGATTGCATAGATAGATCATCAGCATAAAAACCGTCTAACTATGAGATTGGATACAGAGAATTTATGCAGCTCGCGAAAATAATTAAACATTATGGTGCAGTTGATTGATTGAATTGAAGTTTAAAGTGACTATTTTGCAACAAAGTTCCAAAAATGACAATTGACAGGCAAAAGAAACATCAACAGGGATTCCCAATTGGCATACCTTGAGGCCATTGTGGGAGGGGTGCAGGCAGAAGAAATGTGTCAGGTTCTCGAGACGAGAGATCTGAAATTCTGCTCCAACGGAAGCACTTGCACCTAAACATATTGCAGCCCAACACACCCTCTTTTTTCCCCTTCTCAATTCTCTCCCACACCTATTCAAAATTAAGTGTTTTCTCAAGATTTGGTGAGGGCATCTCTATAAAGAAAGATCAGTTTTTTAGAATACCCAATTGTTCTGGAATGAATCTTTATGCATGTAATGAGTAAGAATGTTGTTTCTGGGAATCAATAGTTCCGTGTCTTTCTGTTTCCGTAGGATGTAGGAAAGAGATTGGACGATGAATGACGACGCCAACTGTTGTTTTCGAGTCCTCACCACTCACCAGCATTTTATAGGTTACGGGCCCCCCCTTACTCATACAGGCCTAACAGAGCTATTCAAACTGGATTTCATCCTTCTAGGCCCATTAATCCTTTAAATGTTTTCATTTTATATTGTGGTAAAAACTTAATGGTACATAATATTTATATTAAATTAATAATTACAAAATGAATATCTTTTATATATATCTTTCCTACTTAATTATGATTAAGTAATGAGTTTCTTGCTTAAATTTTTAATTACTCAGTCAACATTGAAGTTCGACATCCATAATTCGAATTAAGTATTCTGAATTTGAACTATGTATCTGAAGTTGGAATCGATTACCCTGAAATTCGAATTGATTATTTGAAGTTCAAAGTTATTTTTTCTTGTTTTATTTTGCTATTTTTTCAATTGTGTTGTTTAAAATATGAGTAGTTCAAAATTGTAAATACCATAATTTTTTGACATGGAAATTACAAAGTATTTTCATAATATGCATCTACTCTAAAAAGTTGACATTTTGGAATTTGTATTTTTGTTATGAATGCACATAATTTAGCTATTTTTATTCAGGAAGTACAATAGTGTGACTTTATTATTATTATTTTAAAATTCAATAAATTAACTTTGAATTATGATGAAATTTGCAATTTAACCTTTTTAAAAAAGGCAATTAGGTATCCGAAGAAGGCCACATCCAAAAACAAAATAAAAAAATTAGTGATTGATTTCACATATATACAATTTACCCTTCGATCCTACGAAAATAGTGCATGTACCCTTGGCAAGTCACCCGCGCCCAATAGACAAACAACCGCTTCATTTTATTTGCCCTAATCCTTCTCTTTTACCTCCATAGCACTGAAAACCCCCAAAACTCAGAGAAAACCTCTGCAGCTTTTGTCAAAAACGCCTCTAGAAACTCTTCGTCGACGCCTCGATTTCGTCTTTCCGTCAGTCCACCAGGTGCGTTCCATTTCCAGCTTCTTAAAGTAACATTAATGCACACTTTTCTTTTAATTCATGCTGTAACTTAATCCAGTTTAGCTCGTTAATTTTACGAAACTGTGTACCGAGTTTTGTTTTGCCGCTGCTGTACCAGTAGGATTTTGCACCCAAAAACGTAGTTCATTAGCTGTTATTTGCCAGGATTTTTAGTTTTATGACTTTTTTTCAAGCTTAGAGTGTAGATTTGTATTCTGACATTTCAAATTCTAGCACACAGAGGCGGATTCAGGATTTTAACTTAGTGGTGCTGAGTACTAGTTGCAATTGGTGCAACTTCATGGCATATGTGGATATTTTCTCAGTGCCAAGTGGCAACTGTACATGCATCAGTCTTTAAGCGTTTCAGATTGTTTATCCAAAGCCTTGTTAGGACCACCAATTAGTCAAGTGCTTGCCCTAATAGTAGGATAAGAAGGGCAAAGTAACGTTTTGCTTTGACTAGGTCTAGAATATGAATATTTCAGTTCTATGTCTTTTGCCCTCATTTTTTTAAAGGAAGTGATTTAGAGATGGTTGAAATTGTGCCTCGAGGATGTTTTTCATAAATAAACAACTAGCATCTTTACTTATCAGATAGAGCCTGTCTGATGGCCTATATTCTATATTGTGTATGCTATCTTTAAGGTCACTTAAAAATATACAAAGAAACGAGTAAAAAAGAAGAGGAAAGTATATAACATTTTCCTCCAATACACACTCAGTGATGTATGTTATTCTTGTTTTGCATATAAAATCTCTTACTATGTTTACTTATTATCCTACTCGTTCCTTTGATATGTTTATAATAAGATATCTGGGCAACAAATGTGTATAATTTTCCTTACTTTCTTAATCTTTATTGCTGTACTAATCAATTCTGCTTATTATGGAGACAGGTTTTAAACTATGGGCGATAGTGAAACTGCGGTAGCTCAAACCTCGTCAGTCACTGACTATAAATCTGCTGGTTATTCATCAAAAGTTCCTGATGATGCTGGCACCCATACTTCTTCTGATGCCGGAAATGCTGGGGATTTGGCCACTCCATGTCCAAATGGCGCTGGGGAGTTAGCATCTTCTAATGTAGAAGCTGGAAACCTATATACCACTGATGCAGTGTCTACCCAGCAAGAAAGTGCTACTGCTATGACATATGAGGCCAGCCAGGATCTTGCAGCTCTAGAAGATGCAGCTGCAGGTTCATCCCAAGCTGCTGTTTATGACTCTTCTGCAAATGGCAACAACAATACTGAAGCAAGAGACATTGCTGAAAATGGGATTGCATCAGATGTTCATGGAAATTCCAATATGCATCAGCCAGAAGACGGCTTAGGTACGGTTTTTAGCTGTTCAGTGTCCTTGTGTCATCGGCTGTTGCTACTTCTGCAATTAAACTAAATAAGTACTTAATTAGATGTTAAGGGACGCTTGTCATCAATTTAATTAGTCACAAGAATCATAATACAAATACATGATGCTGATATAAATTTCTTTAGTAGATATGTGGTGTTACTATTTCTTTTACAAAAGAAAATCTGCATATAATGTGAAGTTACACGAGGATGCTGCCGTAGCTTGGCTCTCTGTGAATGTCTGTGGTGATTGGTAGTTATTTGTTTTTCTCGGCAGCCTTCTCATATTGTAACCAGCTGCTTTTCCCAGTCAGCTTTCCTTTTACTCTTTCCTGCAACATGTTGTCTACTCAATCAATTTTGTTTTCTTTCCTCGTTTAATCTTTCTAAATTTTAAATTTCCTTTTTGTCCCTTTGTCCTGAATGTCAGTTGCATCAGCGGTTAGTAAACTTACTGGCTATACTTTCTGTTGACAGCTTTATCTCCTGAAGAGGAAAGATTATGGAGCATAGTAAGGACAAATTCTTTGGACTTTAATGCCTGGACTTCCCTTATTGAGGAGACGGAGAAGATGTCAGAGGTACTTTAACTGACCATCTGTTTAGTGAATTTGTCATCTTGGTATTATTCATTTTCTCTTCTTCAGTTTTCTGTATTGAGAAAGGAGAGTTTCTCATTATTCTCATTTTATTTAAATTTGCTACTCTCTCCCGCTGGTTGAAGTACCTATGTGGAAAGGTACTGTCTTTTCCCCGGCAGCTGAATTGACAGGGTACAATTTTTTGCTAAAAATATATCTGACTTTCGTGCTAGAGAGAAGGGTAGTGTGGCAGAAAATTCTTCAATTACATACATGTAATTTTGGGTTTGTGTGTTATTTCTGGCAAATAGTTGTCAAGCTATAATTAATCACCTACTTTAAAGGATTAAATTCTGTTACACTCTATGCGAATTATCACTGCAAGAGCTGCGTCAGATAGGTGCTTTGTCGCGTAGCTCATATCTTTAATGTTTATAGTTATTCTTTAGTTAGATAAATCTCTTGTTTGTTTGAGACATGGAGCACTATCGAGTTGGTGGTGTTCTATTCTTCTCTCTTCCCATCCATGCCATGTGTTAACTTACTTAGGAAAAACTTTTAGTGGTGTCCATGTTTTAAGCTGAAATTACCAGTATATTTTAGACTTTTTTAATCTGGTAGTTGCCAGGATTGTAGTCAGTGATGTATAACAGTCACAAAACATCATTTTTCATTAGCAAGAGATTTAACAGTGCAAGAATGGTGATGCTCTTATCCATGTCACTTTGCACTTTCCTCGTTTGGATCACAAAAGATTTAATCCATTTGGCTTTGATTAAAAAATTTCCTATTTCCATGAAATCAAATTAATATTAATTTATAGAATTGATAATAATATGACATTTCTTCAATGATCTGCCTATCATTTAATACATTTTAGTCTAGTTATTCAAATTTTTTTTAATACATTTTAGTATTATCATTTATGAACAGCATTAATTTCTTAATCTTTATATTAAGCAAACAAGCTCATCTATAATGTGGATTGTGTATTTGTCTTTTGAAAGCAAACTTTTCAAGGTCCAATTCTTTTGCTAAAATCTGCTTGTGGCTGTCTATATTCTGTATCTTGTGGACACAAATTTTATCAATGATGGATTCAATATGCAATGTGAAAATGTGTAGGGCAACATTTTGAAGATTCGGAAGGTTTATGATGCATTCTTGGCAGAATTTCCTCTATGTTACGGTTATTGGAAGAAATATGCAGATCATGAGACACGTCTTGGCTCTGTTGACAAAGTTGTGGAGGTCTATGAACGAGCTGTTCAAGGCGTGACATATTCGGTAGATATGTGGTTGCACTATTGTGTTTTTGCTATAAGCACTTATGGAGATCCTGACACCATTAGAAGGTAATGTTATTGATGATCTGATTTGTTCTAGTTTTGCATCGGAGATCATTGGCGCAAGATGCTTATAATTTTTTTCTTTGTGCCAAACTATATGATCTTTCAATGCTATCTGACCTGATTTCAGCATGTCTGCAACAGCTCTTATTCATCTACATGGTGTAAGGTTTGTTTGGATTGCACTTCAGGATTGTATAACTGATGTGCAATCCACGTGATTCTATGGCTACTGTAGCCATATGAATTTTCTTCAGGATTCAATTATATTTTATGGCCTTATTCTCCCCATTCTATTTTCCCTGTCCTTAGGGCTGTGTATAGTCCATGTAGTTCTCCATGATATTTTGCTGTTATTAACCGTCGCACATGAGGTGCATCAATAACCGCATTGCTGCTGAGAAGATCTCGTCCAGTAAGGCTAAGGTGCCCTCTCACTGCTCCTTTCACGGACATTGTAAGATTGTTTTGAGGAAGGTAAATGCAGCATATTTGTGGGAGTGTCTGCTCTTTGAGTGAATTAGTACTTTAGCTTGAACTCTTCTCATGTACTGCATTTTCTAGAGCCCATGCAAAGGCATGTGTGTGTTATTATTAATCCTATGGTACATTGTTTTTGTTAGGTTATTTGAAAGAGGATTAGTGTATGTTGGAACAGACTACCTGTCTTTTCCACTTTGGGATAAGTACCTGGAGTACGAGTACACGCAGCAGGCTTGGTCAAATGTTGCTGCCATATACACACAGATATTGCAGAATCCAAATCAGCAGCTCGATCGCTATTTTGAAGGGTGATTATCTTCCTTGAAGCTTATTTTGCATTTTCATTATTCATTCAAGACTCTCAGATTCAGTGGTCGAACTTGTAGTTCAATCTCTTACAGTACCATTTTTTTCTGATTGCCTTGTGAATAGAATACACCTTTACTTGGTTTTATATAAACAAGCTCAATCGTCGGCAGTACACTTAAGTGGATATCTTGCTTGTTTAAATATGTGGTTTTTGCAAGTTCCTAGTTTAAGCATCTTGATATTGATACAAGAAAAGTAGTTGATGTGACTATTGTTGCTTTCCTGGTGCAATTGTATCTACAGTTTTAAGGAGCTGGTGGCTAGTAGGCCTCTATCAGAGCTACGAACTCCTGAAGAAGCTGCAGCTGCAGCAGAAGCTGGCAGTGAACAGATTGAGGGAGAGGTTAATTCTAGTTCCGAGCCTTCTAAACCTGTAAGTGCAAGCTTAAAAGATGCCGAGGAGTTGGAGAAGTATATCGCCATTAGAGAAGAGATGTATAAGAAAGCTAAAGAGTTCGATTCTAAGATCATTGGTTTTGAAACAGCTATAAGGAGGCCATACTTTCACGTGCGGCCTCTTAATGTTGCAGAGCTTGAAAATTGGAACAATTATCTTGACTTCATAGAAGGAGGAGATGACTTCAATAAGGTACTTGGGTTTGGTTATTTGTAGATTTTCAATATCTCTTTATTTATAGCTTTAGTTGCCTTGTTATACATTTATTTACAGTTAAAGTAATATCTGCTGCCTCATATGCTATATTGGCTAAACCATCGGATGAAGCATCTTTTTAAACGGGATATTGAACTTGGACTAAAGCATGGACCATCCATTTGCTTTCTATAAGGCTAAGTACTTCAAACCCTCATTTGTGAGTCGACGTTCTGGGTTCATGATCTGTTGTATCGTGGAATATTTGTTTTGAAGTTCCAATGTTATGCATGCAGGTGTGTTCTTATCTCCCTAACCATGTCAGGCTAGAAGGGTCCCCCTTTTGTATTAGAGGGGCCCTGTTCCACCAGAGGAGTACTTCTTAGTCCTTTCAGCTTTTGGTGGAATTTCCTTATTGTGGTAGAACATTAGTATGTGTTAACACATTTGTTACTTGTGCAAGTCAGGTGGTCAAGCTGTATGAGAGATGTCTGATTGCTTGTGCCAATTATCCTGAATTTTGGATTCGGTATGTTTCGTGTATGGAAACAAGTGGAAGTTTGGATCTTGCCGATAATGCCCTTGCTCGTGCCACTCAAGTCTTTGTCAAGGTAAAATCTCATTAACTTTTTTTAGATTTCTCCTTTGTGACTATTTGGTCTGTTCAACATGACATTCTCTTTGCGTTTAGGGGGCCAGTTTTTGAATCGTATGCTTAATTACTATCTTGAATTTTGAAAAATTATTCAACTCTTTGCTTGTCCGGATGAGCTGTTTACTGGTTATTAACTTTTCATCTCAAAGTCTAGCATTTAAAGATTTTGTGAGATTTCTATTCCCTTGTCAAGATGATAACTGGCTTTTCGATTGAATGGGATCAGTATTCCCCCCTCCATATTTTAAATATAAGAAATATCTTGGCATAGAAGGTTGAACTCTGAGGAAAACCCAACGGCTGCTGTAATATGAATTGACTGCAATGATGGACAGAAGTGGAAGATAGTTTTCCATGGAAGGTTGAACTTTGTTGCACCCTGGTAAACTTGCTTATTTGTCTGCCATCTTGCAAACTTAGCATTGAGATCACTCTTCAATATATTTTCTAGCCTGGGTTGTAGATTGCTCCACCTGATTAATCTAAATCCAGGGGCTGGTAATGCTAATGCCAGTGTTTTGCCGGTCATCCGCTGATAAGCTTGCTTGTTTGTCTGTGATCCTGTAGTCTCAGCACTGAAATTGCTCTTTAGTAGATTTCTTAGCATTGGAGAGGGGATTATGGGTCTGGGCATTCAAGTTAATGCGCTGGTAATTCTAGTTGACCAACAAGGTTGTAGGCAATTCCCTCACTTGGATAACTTAGACAAACTTACAAGTTACAATGTTCCTGCTGGGTTTTTTAAAGATAATTTCAACAAGCTAAAGTGCTATTTATTTTATTTCTTATAGTTCTTTCACAAATAGACATTCTCTTGAAAAGTTTTTTGAAGTGTTAAAGTATTGAATTCAAGTGAGATCTGAAGTCGTTACTGATAAATTCTTGCTGGTTTCTAATGATATTTCACTCTTCATGCATTATATGACCCTCAATGACGTGTGAGGTTATAATAGTGTGGTTTTTCTTTGCCAAGAGTTTGTACTTGAAAGGGTGGAAGCGAGTTGCATTAGGATGCCCATGAAGTATTGTTGGAAATCAATTTATTGTGTCTAGAGCTGTTGCTTGAATAGGTTGCCTTTCAATTCTACTATATTTAATTATCGCTCTCATTTGTCGACCTTTAACAGAGACAACCAGAGATTCACCTTTTTGCTGCTCGATTGCGGGAGCAACGTGGTGATATACCTGGTGCTCAGGCTGCGTATCAACTTGTGCATGCTGAAATATCACCTGGACTTGTAGAAGCAATAATCAAGCATGCGAACATGGAACGTCGACTTGTAAGATTGTTTCATGACCTACTAAGGTTTCAGGATTAGATTTGATCTGTGTTAACTTATCTAATGTATCATTTTCTTCTTGGTTCTTTGAAGGGGAACCTTGAGGATGCCTGTTCCGTATATGAACAAGCTATCGCCATTGAAAAAGGAAAGGAGCACTCGCTGAGTCTGCCATTATTGCTTGCACAGTACTCTCGGTTTTTGTACTTGGTAAAGTTCTTTTGTGTCTTGTGTTATCCAGCTTTTACATATTTGACTCAAGTAATTGACTATTGCCTTTTCCATCTTGTTGTAGTGTGCGTCTTCCAATTGTGGTGATCAATTATAGATATTGTTTTGCTTCGGAGATGTTTATGGAAATTGGAATTTAATATTCTCATCTGTGAATGGGCTTCCCAACAATGTTTAGAAAATCTCGGAATGATTCTCTGTTTTATGGACGTGCATCATCATAATTTATGTTGCAATCATACACCAACATATATAGGGAGACATAGATATGTAGACCATAGCTTGTCACAATATTCCACATAATCATTTGATTCTCAATCATTTTAGTTATTTGTTCATATGTACACACTCTTCACTGCCCTTGTGGAAGGCTTTTCAGTAGGAAAAGAAAGCAGAATTAGTGCAAGTGTGTGGAGAGTCATTAAGGACTTTGACTTGATCCCCTGTATTGTTGGGTGATGATAACATGGAAACATCTTTTTTCGCTTCGAGTTCCTCATGATTAGAGTCATCATTGAAATTTATGTATTTGTCCTCCTTTGGCTCACTGTCACAAAATCTCTGTTGAAAGGTTTCTGGGAAGGTGGAAAAAGCTCGGGAAATTCTTGATCAAGCAGTTGAGAATGTCCAGTTGTCAAAACCACTTCTGGAGGTCCGACTCTGTCTCTCTCTCTCTCTCTCATCCAAAGGCATAATGAGTGGAGGAATTGATGTTTTCTTATTGACATGCTGTTTTCATTTAATAAATGCAGGCACTGATCCATTTAGAATCCATTCAGTCGCTACCAAAGAGAATAGATTTGTTGGATTCATTGGTTGATAAGTTCATAGTTCCATCTCCCGAGAACCCTAGCGTTGCAAGTGTTGATGAAAGAGAGGAATTATCAAGCATTTTCTTGGAGGTATGAACTGTTAGATTTGGGTACTTGACAGAGGTTTGGGACTGTGATGCCCTCAATGTTAGAACAAATATGGCTTGCGCTGTTCTCGTGGGAACCTTAAGTTATTTGAACTTGTGATCTTGACCAGATATGCTTGGAAATGCTTTCAGTTATATATATCACGTGCTTTTAGCACAAGGCTGTTGTCTGTATATTCCAAGATGACACACTACCATATTCCTGATACCTGAATTCCCTCTTTTTGATGCAAACTGACTGAACGGAAATAATTGAACAAGCTGGACATACTTTATTAAGCTGGTAACCCATCCCTGAACTAGTATTCCTGTCAGATATCAATATGCACTTGGATTAAAGTTGGCTTATATCTTTAGGTACTTTTCCAAGTTTTGCTATACTGTGAAGATAAGACAGCTGGTAAAAATGGGGAATTTTTTTTGTTCAAATTCTACTTTTAGAAAAGGACACTGTTGTCGGACCTCCAAGAAAGAAAAAAAGGCCACTATTTTTGGAATGTAGGAAGTAGAAAAACATATTAAATTCAGTGGGGAGTTTGTTTATCATGTTGCTCTGATGTTTAAAACATGACATGATTTAAATTTGAGTATGGACTTGATTTCTTGAAAGTTCCGCTTTGTGTTTGAATTATTGATTGTTTCAATAACCAGATTACTATATCATGGTAGTTTAATCAAATCATATGATGGTTTAAATTCGAATAATATCCGAATCTCTTAGTGATGCAATGGGGTGTCCGGAGAGAAATTTGTTTTATTGGCAATCATTTTGATTCTTGAGCCTTTACCATTTTCCTTTTGACTTTGAAGCGTAAACACTTCAGAATGTCTTGGAGATGCAATAGGGATTCTATAAAGAGATTTATTTCTGATTCTTGAGCTTTCACAATCTTGTTTAATAGACCTTAAAGTGTAAACATTTTGGAACGTCTGGGAGTTATTTCTGATTCATGAGCCTTCACATCTTTTGATTTTTTAAAGACTCTGAAGTGTAAACATGTTGGAATGTTTTATGGGTGCAAGGAGAGTTTACAGAGGGATGTGTTTTCTTTGGAGTTATTTCTGACTCTTGTGAGCCTTCACAATTTTTTTAAAATAGATTTTGAGTGTCTTAACTGATTATGCTTGGTGCTATTTGTATACCATGATCCATCTGTCTGGGCTGTTTATTTTTTGATGCTTTTGCCGAAATGTTCTGAGACTGAGAAAGTGTGCAGTTTCTAGATCTTTTCGGAGATGCAGCATCAATTAAGAAGGCTGATGATCGGCACGCTAAGCTTTTTTTACGCCATAGAACCTCTTCAGATTCAAAGAAACGTCAGGCTGACGATTATTTAGTTTCTGAGAAGACAAAGCTGGCAAAGTCTGCAGTTGCAGCATCTAACCCCTCAGTGGCTGGTGCATTTCCTGGAGCGCAAAATCAATGGCCTGCAGGTTATGGTGTACAAGGTCAAACCTGGCCACAGGCTGCGCAAGCCCAACCGCAGCAGTGGAATCCTGGTTATGCGCAACAGGTAACAGTTTCACTAAAGATGGTTTGCCCCTCTGGTTCAAATCTCTCCCTAGAGTGCGGATCTGGATATGCTTCCCAGAACAATGCTATGTGGAACCATTATATATGTGTTGCTCATGCTTTAACCAACATGTTGATTTAGGTTAAACTGGAACCTCATCATGGAGTTAAACAAATAATTTTTGTATTTAAATGGAATTTGAATGCTCCTTTCCTTTTTCCTCTGAATCAGCTTTCTGTGAACATATAGCTTTTCTGTGCGCAAATGCTTTATCACACACTCAGTTTCTTGTTACATATTTTCTTTTTCTCCACCCCTCGGGTCCGTGGAGGTCTTCCTTTACGCATGTATTTCAGTTCTCCCTGCGGCCATTAAAGCTTGAGAGTGTTGTATGTCCATGTGTGTGAATCTTCTTGTTTTGCTCAGTCCATATTTTCTTTCAGATTATCAAGATTATTCGTGGAATTAACTTTTCTAGAATATATACAGTTCAAAGCAGATACGCAATCAGTGGCTCAGTTTTCTATTTTGTGTTTGTTGAACTTTAGGCAGCATATGGTGCTTACAGCAGTTACGGCGCCAGCTATGCACCTCCTCAAGCGCCTGCACCAGTGCCCTCGAGTGCCGGTTATGGTGCTTATCCTTCAACATACCCGGCGCAGGTAAGCGGAGCGCCTTTTATATATCAGCATTTTCGTTGCTTGTCTTGCATACATTACCAACTTGCATTATGGTTTCAGCAGGGATACTTTTATTAACCAGTTCTATAGTTTTCATGGTTACCTTTTTTTGGGTTAAAAATTGTTGTCCTTGTCCAACCTTCTCAAAAAAAGAATTCATGCCCTTGTATGCTAAGAATGGTTGGTGAGAATAAAATTTGATGCCCTCTAAGTTACCCAGTTTTAAGTCTGAAAATGGTGGTGAGGCCACAAGGCTTGCTAAACTTGTATCATCCACGAAATTGTAGCATTTCAGTGTTCAAAATTGAATCATTTCATTTCCTTCTTTTATCCTGAGAATGTAGCTATCAATATGATACATTGCCAATTGAACCTAAGAAGTAGTCCATCCATTCATCTCTTTTATGTTGATTTCATCAGTCAAAATTAATAGGGCATTAGACTTGGTTCCAGAATCCAGAGTAAGACTAGAAATTGGTGTACTGCTGCCATTAGCTCTTGTACAATTAAATATATGTTGGAGAAATTGCATTTCAGACTTAGTTCACGGTTAACCCTCGTGTTTGGAATGGTGTGACAATGAACCTTTATCCTCACAGAAACACACAAATCCAAGATCACCAAATTGGTACATCCAATGGTCTAGTGTGCTTTGGGAATACACTGTTATTCCTGCCAAATACAGTAGATAGCACATGTGCTTTAGTGAAAGGGCCTTCCAACTCCAACTGCGACATTGGGGGTTTGAGTCAACAAGGGAGCAAATTAGGAAAGCCATTCTGTCTGACTCTTGGCTTTGGGAGGGTGGGGAGTATGTACCAATTGTTCATTGTAACAATGCATATGATTATAATGATAGATGAAAACGTGATTACTTCTTATGGTATATTTGTCATACTCTCTCTTTTTTGATGAAGATCTTTCCTTAGATCAGTCCATTGGTTGGACGATTGGTGGTTCTTGAGAAAGATATCATGCAAACAAAAACTTGTGGTTGTTGAATTTGGCTATATTTGCATTTGGTGATTTGATATCTATTTATTTGGCATGCGGATATTATTTCGTGTTGTCAATATGGGTTTCTAGTCAACTGTTAGCTAATGAAGCCTTGTTGTAGTGGCAAGCCACAACCCCAACAATATTAAAGTCTCAATGGAAATTCTTTCTCAAAAATAGAATAGTTGTCACATTTGTGCTTATTTCTCTCCAATCTGCAGTGACTATGTAATTTGGAATTCCTTCCAACTATATCTAGTCATAATTATCCTTGGTAACGGATGACTTAATAGTGCGAAGGAATCTCCATGTGAATATCATACACATCTTTTTAATTGCTTTCAATAAATTCTTTACTATCTCAATCATTTAGATATTTTACCATGGTAAGAATACCTGAATTTATTTTTGCTCACTGCAATGAAATTCTCTCTCAATTAGTTGTATCTTTAGAATTACTATTATGAGTTCCACAAGTACAAGGTGTCAATCAATTCCAATTAGTGTCTTGGTAGGTAGATTTGGTTGTTGTATAAGCTTCTCAAATTTCGTGTTGCGTTGGGGAAGTTTAGTCCAGTGGACCAAAATTGTAGCAGAGCGTGAAATTTACTGAATATCTGCTCAGAAATTAATCTCTCCTGTGAAGTTCCGTACTTCGTATCGTGTTGCGTTGGGGAAGTTTAGTCCAGTGGACCAAAATTGTAGCAGAGCGTGAAATTTACTGAATATCTGCTCAGAAATTAATCTCTCCTGTGAAGTTCCGTACTTCGTATCGTGTTGCGTTGGGGAAGTTTAGTCCAGTGGACCAAAATTGTAGCAGAGCGTGAAATTTACTGAATATCTGCTCAGAAATTAATCTCTCCTGTGAAGTTCCGTACTTCGTAACATAGCTGCTGCTATGCTGAACTGGAGTTTTTCTTTCTTTCTGGAGTTGGTAATATTTTTCTTGTACTTGAACCTTTTTTTTTCTTTGCTTTAATCAGTAAAAATGTGTCCTCGTACACCCTCTTCTCTAGCCCCTACCCTCCATGGGGGTAGAGAGGTGTAGTATGTTGTTTCCATATTTGCTTTATATCGCCATATGTTTATGCTACCCAAGGTGGAAGCCCTCTGGTGTGTGTTGTTTTTTGTTGCTAAGTGAACTTTGTTATAACTGCCAGGCCTTCCCTCAGCAGAATTATGCACAGCCAGCCGCCGCTCCCACTTTGCCTCCAGCACCACAAGCTACAACTGTTCCTCCTACAGCTTATTATGGCAGTTATTATTGAGATGGCAAAAACTTCCACATCAATTTTTTGCTGGATATAGTTTGTATCTTCCCATCAACGGCCAGAATACATTGCAATGCCCTGAGTTCTTCCGCATGGTTGTATTTTGAGTGAATGAGCTGCAGGATAGGAAATTGAGCAATCTAGTGATGTCTCACCTTAGGCTGATGGGCAATGCTGGAAATCCATTGTTTATCTTCTGTTGGCTTTTTTCTAGTTAATGTACCATACTTTTTTGTTGACATGCTAGTTGCAGGAAAATATGTTGCAAAATGTTATGTTTTCCCTATCCCATCTCCACTGTCTTTGTAGTATGATTTCTGTATTTGCAGAGTGCAAGGTTTTTCTGCTACCCGGAGGCCGAGCATCAATTGGAGTTCTGTATTCTTATTTTCAGAGGAGAGCCTTCATTCATGGTTATCATGAAAAGGTGGCTCATAATACCTGTGAAGCGGGATGTTCCTCGCTGGTGTGGAGAGGCGTCTAAGTTGCTTTCACCCGGTTACCCTTTGTACTTGTCGGGTAACAGCTCTAATCTAATCGTACTGGGTAAGTGTTATGTTCAGGCGTGGAAAAAAGAAAAAACAGGAAAGAATGTAGCTTTCATTCCTTGTAAAAACGAAAGTGAAATGCTAACAGTTAATTGCCAAAACGAAAAAAAAAAGGTGAAAGGCAGATGAATTAGGTAGTTAGGTTTGACCTTTTCCCTTTGTACGTTGGTGAAAGCTTGCTCGTGAGCTTCGGAGGTCATGAATTTTGCGTTAGATTCTCTTATCTGGTAAATTTATTTGGCAACCAAAAATTACTTTGTTGAGGAACTAACTGATCCAACACGCAACGCTTAATATATCCACGTTCCAACTTCATTCTGCAATTCAATATATTGTGTCAACTTCATTCACTAACTCATTTGAAGTTCAGAATTGGTTTTTTCGTCTTGTACTTTCACTTTTTCTCTTCTTTCCCTTCCATTATGTGCTTTTACCAGTGATAGGCTCTAGTTGAGTTTGAATTTTCAACTTCTAAGGACTATTCAGAAGATTGAGAACAAATTCATCGAAGTTAATATTCCATGACTCAAAATACAACATTTGTTTTGCCAAGAAAAGAAAAAAAGAGACAATAATTTCCTGTTCAACACAGCAAAAAGTTGAATACTTCGTTGATAGGTATCATGAGTATGTACTATAGTATATAGTATAAATGCCTCAGCTATTTCTTTCTCAATAAGATGCTGAATTTCGCAAGGATTCGTATAGAAGGTAAAATTCTGTCTCTCCTACTTTGTCTATCTGTTAAATCCTCTTAGATTTCTTAACGATCGAAATGGATTCTGAGCCGCTAATAGAATAGAGTGGTCCAAAAGGTGTGCCCGGACGTAGAAAAATGATGTGTATCTAGGTGGTTGATTCCACAAGTGTTCTCTGCAAAACATGTGAAGTCAAAGCTGAGAATTTCGACGAAATCGGTCGAATCTGACCTTTCTTTCCAAAAAGTGGAGGAGAAGGATATTCTTCAAGTAACATTCCCGTTGTATCATTCATTTGATCTATGTTCGTACTTTTGACAGTGTTGTAAACTTCTCCCATAATTATCTATCGATAGAGGCAGATTCAAGATTTAAACTTGATAAGTTCAATTTATAAGGTTCTTAGCACTGAACTCATACTTTTAATATTATGGGCTAAGAATCTTATTTGTTAAAAATTTAATGAGTTATTACGTATATATTTATATTCGTTATAAAAAATAACTGGTTAAGATGAACCATTGAGCATAGACTCCATCCTCCTCTGCCTATCTATTGAATTCAAAACTGTATTTGAGTTGACTTTCAGAGAGAAATACAAATGAATGCACTAGGGAAACTCGGGTGCTTATAAACCAGTAATGTTCTACTCCTAAGAAAATAGCCAAAACTATGAAAGGATTTTTTCTTCTGAAACAAAAAGACATCAAAAAAATGCAAAAGCAGAAAGCTCAGTAAGGACCAATGCTATTTTTGGACTTCTAGAGTTTTCCCTACTCTTATTTTCATTTTACTATTAACCAGCAAGTAATTTTAATCTTGCCCTTTCGACGGAGTATCTTATTGGTTAATATCAGCCAATGCTTGTAAGGCCTTATCTTTGCTTAATTTCAGTGACACCACTAATTGGACAATTGCAAGAAACAAATATAAGTCACTATTGTTCACGTCGTACTCAGACCCTTAAATTCTGTTAAGAAGAATGAACCATATAAAATTTAAATCGGCATATATTAAATTGTTTTATGTGGAAGTACTTGATAAAACCCAAAATTTAAGAAACTTTTTGACATATAAACCAAATATATGCAAAATGCTAAAGGTATTTTTTAAATGAGCGGTGGTGATTAATAGTTACACATGACTTATCATTTTAAACAAGTGATATTAACAGTCTCGACAAGTAATATCATTTAGGGTAAATGGAGATAACACATAAATGTATCATTCTTATAGGAATAAATTAAAAAGAAAAATATATCATATACAATGGGAAGAAGGAAATAGTAATAGTATTGAACTGACAATTATCTCAACTTTATGAAGGAATTATAGGGATTAAAAATACATGTGGCCATGCTCAAAAGTGTATCTGGCACACCTTTTCGTTAAATCTAATAACCAGCTGTAATCTGGTTTTGGAGATGAATAAAATACTTTAGAATTAAAAAAAAAAATACAATGGTGGAGTATATATTTTCCAATGTGAGAAAACCCCCACCAAACAAAGTGATGATGCTGAGCCTTTTGTATTTTGGATGTTGAGCATTCTTGATTTGGATTATTCCACATTTCAATTTTTCAACTGGTCTTTTCTAGTGAAAATGGCGGGGTGGTCCACTTTTTGTAACGATCCGGTCGGTCGTTTTGAGTATTATAATCCCGTTTCCCCAATTATTACTCAATTTATGCTTTACAGTTGTTTTATGACTTATCATGTTAGTTGGTTCTGGTCCGGAAGGAATTCAGAGTGAAACGAGACACTTGGTCTCATAATTAAAAATTTAAGTTAGAAAAAGTTGACTGGATATTGACTTATGCGTAAACGACCTCGAAATTTAATTTTGATGATTTCAATAGCTCCGTATGGTGATTTTGGACTTGGGAGCATGTTCGAAAAATTATTTGGAGGTCCGTAGTGGAATTAGGCTTGAAATGACGAAAGTCGAATTTTTGGAAAGTTTGACCGGGGGGTTGACTTTTTGATATTGGGATCGAAATCCGATTCTGAAAATTTTAGTAGGTCCATTATGTCATTTATGACTTGTATGCAAAATTTGAGGTTAATCGGACTTGATTTGATAGGTTCCGGCGTCGTTTGTAGAAACTTGAAATTTCAAAGTTTATTAGGCTTGAATTGGGGTATGATTCGTAATTTTAGCGTTGTTTGAGGTGATTTGAGGGTTCAACTAAGTTCGTATGATGTTATGGGACTTAACGGTGTGTTTGGTTGAGGTCCCGGGGGCCTCGGGTTAGTTTCAGGAGGTTAACTGATTATTTTTGGACTTGGCATGTTGGCTGAAGACTGATGGTGTGCTTTTTCTGGTTTCCTTCTCCGCGTTCGCGAGTGGGCCCTCGCGCATTCTTGGATACTGAATCCCCGCGCTTCTAGCCTTTTATCCGAAATATGGACTATTCATAGCCTACTGCATTTGAGTATCTCGTACATTGTTCACATTTACCTTACTTATCTTAAAGTCTCGCATCACATCTTTTATATCTTTCGTGACCTCCCTTCCACATAGGTACAATTCACATCCACAACTTGAACTTTTATTATAATACTTGTACCTCTTTACATGATTCGGTGAGAGCTTCACACTGGCTTCTTATGAGGCTGGTACTCTTCTAACTGGCTTTATCGTAGAGCCGTTACAAAATATGGCTACTGTACTATCTCTCTTGCACCTCTGATATTAAGAGTGATTCTGCAATGTTCTCAATCACGATGTCCATAATTTCCTAGGTCCAATAATCAAACTCCTGATTTACTTAGTTAATGTAACTCTTTAGTTTCCTCTTTCCTCTGATCAACCTTTATGTAGGCTTAAGCTATCTTTCGATCTGCGACTCATGATATTAGTTATTACTTTAGCCATTCATGGACGTTATGGAATATTCATGATTCAATCTTCTAATAATTCAATCCTTTGTCTATGCCCTGGGCTCAATTTTTTATTTTAACTTATATCGGAGTCTTCTACGGCTGTATGAATGTCAACATATATGGTGCATGGATATCACTCTGAAGTCTTAAGTGTATAATCCCTTTTGTTCCCTATGAGCTTCCTTTAAACATAAGCTATTACTTTTCTTGGTCTTTCTGCCCCTCTGTTGAGTGTATACTTAACTTATCTAAGTTCCCACACATGCTGAAATTTTTGTGCAACTCACATGGTCTCGAATATTACTTTTGATTTTTCTTCCCGTTCCTTAGCCATGGTAGGTTCCACTTTCTCATGAAGTGCATACAATATTGTAGTGAGACTGTTTTTACATGACCATTTCCTCTTTAGGTCACTGTGCTTAGGTTGAAGCCTTCTTCCTTATTTCCTCAGCTAGTCTTTCGTTATAATACTTAGGGAAGACCTTCTGACTCTTGTGAAGTTGCGAGCTTATTACATCGTATACTTGACGGAATTTTTGATGTTCTTCCTTGCCTATAATTATCCGTAGTTACTTATTTCTACGCCCTTGTGCTTGTAGGGTTGCTCCTACACTGAAGTTTTGACTGTCTTCCCAGTGAGACTATCTTTTATTTCCATAATATTCATGCGATACCTTTAACTACCCTAACTCCTATCTGAATATTTCTCAAGCATTACAATATCATATCTGCGAGACTGAATTCCCCATGTCGGGGTTCACTATGTTTATCTTGCACGATCTATTGATTTGTATGTATCCTCTTGTCTAGCCATAACTAGGTTCTTCCTGAATCAACTACTCATTGGCTCATTCTCATATCAATATTCTGCGTAATCTTTCATGGGCCATTTCCTTTATCTTAACTTACGTCCCGCACTGGCTCCTTATCTATCAATAACATCTCAGGCAGGAACCCTTACCTCATCTCCTTGCGTCGTGTTTGCATAATGTTCTGAAATCGTAGCATATCTGTAGGATTTGAATAAGTGCAATCTTATCCCTTTCTCATTCTTATCACATTCTTCCTTTATTAATCCATAGTTACTAGAACCACTTAATTCAGACTTAATGCCATATCACTCCATATTCCCCCTTTTAGGGGAGTACTAGGAGTTGGAGCCACGAGGATCTACCTATAGATATTTTACCTCTTCATCTTTGGCATCTTTTTAAAT